GAGAGTGAAGTGCATTCTAATCACATTAGTTCAAACTCATAAATAATAATCGTTAGTAATTATATACACAAACATGTATATAAATATACATATATATGTATATGTATATACATATGTACCACTAATTGGAAATATAATTTTAGGAAGTAGTTTATTTTCCTCGTGAAGCGGCATTACATAACCAATATTCAGCTTATAATAAAAGTATACAGTGTTGGTCATATTAGGTGGACCCATCTATTTAACAAAATATGAAACAAAGGATGTTTTTTGCAGTTCACGTTAAAAATCATTTATTTTAGTTCTTTCCGTATATAGTTGGACTTATAATTCAAAAACAAATCCGTTTAAAAAGTATGTCGAAGTATTATCAATTGAATATCAGACAATAAGGAAATTTATGTATAATGACTTGAGTAAGAGATTTTGATTTTAATACCAAGAATAAAATAAACTTCTTGGAGTCTCATTTTAGCTTCCGTAAAAGTAAGCTCCCAATTTTTTTTATTTTCTTTTTTTTTTTGTTTTAATACTAAAATTCTTTTACTTTAACCTATTTAACCTATGTTTTAATAATAGACAGAAAAAGTTTTAAGTACCAGATAAATCAAAGTCTATGCAATAAAGAGAAAATAACATTGTATTACAATAGAATCACATATTAATTAAAAAGTGCTGTTTAAAAGCAGCTGTGTGCTCTTTTGTAATAGCAAGTCTAATATATAGTATAAAAGTATTCCATTAAATGTGCTTAAATCGTTTTAAATTTTTAATATTAAAGTTTCTCTAGTATTCCTCAGTAACTTTTACGACACTTTCGGGTTAGAATCAATTTAATATAATTTTTAAAATAATTTATGTTTATTGCTATTTGTCATTAATGCCATAAATATATATACTTTTGCTAATAAACCGATGGTATGGAGTGGTAAGCTAAGAAAGAGGAGATGGGTCTTATATTGTACGATAATTTATATCCTTACAAATCTGAAATAGTTGAACCTATTTTCAATACGTTAGAAAAATTGTGATTTGTTTTGTAATTTAAAACCCGACAGAAACCTTTTAGTGACCTCTATTAATTATTAATTATCGTCTTTCTTTAAAATTATATAGTTTTAGATAACGCAAAGCAATGTGTTAGTCAGTTAGGTTTCAGTGTTGATTAAAATTTATCAATCTTGATAAAATATTTTTGGTTACTTATATTTATAAATACTTTTCGTTGTAGGATCCGTTTGTATATACTTTATGGAATTTATTGTTTAGTAATTAATTTACATAATTGTAATAATATAACAATTATATTAAAGTCTATTTATGAAGTATTGTGTAACTGTCAGATATGAGCTGATAAAAAACAATTGAAAAAAAAAAATTGAATTTTTTTAACACTTAAAATAGATTATAATATTATAAAAAATAAAAAGTTAATAAGGAATTCAGCTTTTATTTCTTTCCACTTTGTTTTGAACATAAGACATATCCATTGAGTTCTTATTTGCGGTTACTCCTTTCAACTCCTCACCTCAGTACAATTACTTAATTGTTTCTTACTTATAGCTTTCGTATTGATTTTCCTGGATTGCTCTACTCTTTTAGTACTCAAAAGTGTTTGGAATAATATGGACAATAAATTAAAATTACGCGTTCTAATATATTTCGGATTTTTTCTCTCCGTTTGTAGTGGTTTCATATCAGTTACTTACGACATGAAGAAGGGAAAATTTCTTCAACTACCTTATCTCAAGATGTTCAATATCTTAAGAAGTGCTGCAAAAATGTGTCTAATTCCTTTGTATATTTACTTGATAATAGAAGAGTACACTGGTTTTGATTACGTGGATATATTAAGGCAAATCGAAGTATTGAACGCTGGGGTCAGGTGTATAGCTACTTTTGTGTTGGTAATGCACAGTGAAATTCGGGAACAAAACATTCTGAAAATATACAATCAATTTTGTATCACAGAGAAACGTTTATTTGGTGGCTTACTCAGTGGTGAAGTGCCAATAAAACTGAAGGATCCCATTTTATGTCTAAAGTTTATCAATCTCATTGTATTTACTCTAATAACTTTTTTATGTTATATCCGCTTGATATTAGTGAATGATTGGAAAAGAGTTATAAGTGCAATTTATAACATAAACAATATATATTTTTTCAATGGCACATTATTTTGCTATGTTTTGGGTCTTTGGTATATACGAAGCAGGTTGGAATGTATAAACAATTATTTTGAAAACATATATCAGCAATTTGATCATGAAAAAAGTTCTATAAATAAAGAGTATACAAAGATATTAACAAGTAAAATTAATGATTTATGTGGTATATATTTAACACTCTTAAAGTTAGCTAGAGAATTAACCAAACTACACGACTTGGAAATTGTTTGCTCACATGTTGCATATTTTGCTTATAATGTGATGACATGTGCCTTGTGTAGTTACATCGTCAGTGGAGAATATCTGCCTTTTAACTTTACTAGTAAATTGATAAGGGCTCTCATATTTATTACATATTTGATCGATTCATATTTGTTGGGTGATCTTTGCGAAAAAACGACAATAGCAGCAAACAGAATTTTGGAATACTTACACAGCTTTAATACTGAATTTCAAAAGAATAAAAAATTGGATCTCGCGGTGAGTAATCAGTATTAATAGTTCTTATATTAAATTTTAATAAGAATTTTATACTTTTAGTGTGAGCATTTTGCTTTGTGCTCAAGTCGTGAAAAGTTATCATTCACCATATTCGGAATGTTTCATTTAAACAGAAGACAAACCTTCTCGGTCATTTATCAAATAGCCATATATACAGTGTACATTGTGCAGAGTAACTACACACAATTCAAATATGAAATATAAATATACAATATAATAATAAAATATTTTAAATTATAATAATATCACGAAAGTACATAGTTTATTAATTTTTTAAAAATTTTCACTAACAACAAACAGTCGTAATAAAAATTTGGAATTAAAATTTTAGGAATTATAATTAATACTTTTTCAATAAAAATATATGATATAGTAACGCATAGATAATAAATGCATTTTAATTTCTAAAAACATTGCAAACATTTAACTTGTTAACATGACTTAAGAGTCCAGGGATACCATATCTCTCCATATCTCCATATCTGGAGGTAATATAGTCTTCGAATTCTTATATTAATGCAGTATTTTTACTTTTGATAGAAGATCATGTTGCACAGTTAAAAATATAGAACGATTCTATGTTCCTATGATGTGTTCTATACTAAAAACATAGAACGATTCTATGTTTCTATGACATATTGCTATGTTTTCGATATAATCAGTTTAGAACCAAAGATCATCCAGAATTTGTTAACGTACAAATGTGAATCCAGACTACTAATTTTGTATCTGCCAAGGGTGCCATTATGAGTAATGGTGACATATCAATTTAGAGATTCAATTTTTTGAATTAATATTAGCTAATAAAGTGGTCCATAAACAGCTTAAATCAATACAGTTTATATGTCTAACAGTAGTTCTTAGATGGACTTTGGATTTTCGTTATACCGTGTGGTATAATTTTTTTATTTAATAAAGTTCTCATCATAGTAGGTAGCTATAGGCCTATTTAAGCCTATATATATATTTTGTTAAACATTTATTTTTAATACACAGGCGTACATAAATCATTCATAAAATTTGTTGGGTTTTTGTTTAATGATTCTTTAAGTATTATACTAACATTAGAAAAAATAATAGAGAAATAAAACACAGACAAGTACACCCACAAAGTCGTCCAAGCACCATTAATGAGGAATATTTGGCGGAATCTGAAACGGCTAAAAAACTTACTTAAAAACTCTTTTCTAGTAGAAATAGATTTCTTTTTATAGGACATATAATTCTAATTGGTACTGCTCAGTAAAAAGATGGTGTTATCTTTATTGACCAATTAACAGCTGTTTAAGTTAAGTTATATTTAAGAAAGTATCTAGTAAAAGCACTCCGTATACTTCGATTTATGTAAACACTTGTGAACTTTTAATTAGACAAAATAAGCAGATAATCGGTCTAGCAGATAATATTTTTCTAATTTCTAAAAATATTTATATATTATTATCAAAAAATATATTTGCAAGCACAAATTGTATCAATCTTTTTTTTTCATATAACGTTTTATTGTTATTGTTATCTTTTAATTGAATATTTGCATTCTTCTTAGTAATAGAACTAAACATTTACTAATTGCGTCATGAATAACATCCGATATCATTATTTCATTCCATGAATTTGAAGAAACCTAATATGAAAGTATTCAAAAAAATTGTACACTTTTGCAAATTCGGTCACAACCGATTTTACAATAGATTTTAAGAGTGTCAGCTATATCGAATCGGTTTCTCCACTTCACTTCAAAACAAACTTTGAAACGTATTCAATATTTCAAGGTTAAGTCAAGTCGATCTCATATGAAATATAATTATATCGATATCGATCCAATGATTTTTTTTTTAGAAAATCTACTGCTGCCGAACAAATTCTATTTCTCTAAATTGTAGCACTTACACTAATAACTTCTATTAAAAAAATAAGTGTGTAGTGATGCCATCTATTGACAATGACTATCCTCATTAAAGCAGATCTTTCACCAACACCAGATCTGGAACAAAGAGAATACCAACAAAAAAATGATTGATCGGAACTGAAGATTGTCAGCATAACCTGTTTAATAAGAAAATATACTTACAGTATGGAGGCCCCTATCAACGCCTACTGCCATAATAGTGATTCAAAGATAAAACGGAAAAATTTCACTAATGCAAACGACACCTGCCCACTCTGTATACTTCTTTCCTTAATTGTTTTTCCAATATTTTCAATTTGGGCAGTATGGATTCAAATATATATTCACATATAATTCACACTTTTTTCTTAACAATGTCATTTACAATACAGTAAAAAGTGTTCTAATACTTTTGTTTTATTTAATAATATATCTGTAAAATTAAGTAAATTAATCAAATTCCATATAAAGATATTGCATGCAAATTCTGCAATCCTACGCTGCACACATCCTTGACAAGTCTTTCTTAATGAAATCTGCAGCTCGTTCCGCAATCATTATAGTAGCTGCATTTATATTCCCGCTGGGTAGTTTCGGCATTATGGACGCATCGACTACACGCAGATTATTGACTCCACGCAAACGTAAACATCTGTCAACACAAGCACTTTTATCTTCATCTGGGCCCATTTTCACAGTGCACCCAGGATGAAAAATAGTCATACTGAAATATTTAAAATAACAACGCCAATAGAGCTGTGATTTAAATACATAATTGTCGCATTCCTTTATAGGAACGTGCATTAATTTAACATCACTATTCATAAAGCTACTTGTTTTCTCCAGCCTCATATGATGCTTCATTGCACGTAATAATGTATCTATGTCGTTTTCGTCACCTAAATAGTTCGGATAGATTGCTGGATTGTGTTTGTAATGTGGACTTCTTAATTTTATTTGACCAACTGATTTTGGAAGTAAAACTGCAGTCATTACCATTAGTATATGTGTGGAGTTAAGCGCACTGTGTAAATATAACTTCATGTCATCTTCCAAAGAAACAGCGTAAAGTATTGTTTCCAGAGTAGCATGATCTTGACGCCTAGCTATCAGATAATGAACTTCAACATCGGGTGTACTTAAATTATTCGACTTAGTATTTATAAAGCCAGTGAAAGAGTTTATACCAGTAGCACCTAAAGGTCCACGTGAGTACATTAAATATTGGTATATACTATTCAAAATATCTTGCAGAGATACTGGCAAGGCTTTGTTTTTCTGAATTTCATAAAAAATAGGCACTATCACATGATCTTGTAAGTTTTTGCCAACAGGTAAATCATGTATAACTGGTATTCCCACACTTTGCAGGTGTTGTTTGGGACCGACCCCAGATTGCATCAAAAGTTGAGGTGAATTGATGGCACCAGCAGAGAGGATAAATTCTTTTTTAGCACGTACAGTTAATTTTATTTTTTCACGCAGTAAAACTGATATTGAATCCACGTATGTGCCGGTTTTATCAAAGTTTAATTTTGTAACCAGAGAATTCTTAAACACATGTAAATTACGTCGACCAGAAACTTTACCCAAATGCACTTTACCAGTACTCATACGATGTCCATTCTGGACAGTACCATACATATCTGTATAGCCAACGGCACTATTTTCAATCTCGTCACGACTTGTTGGTATACCAAGTTCAGCAACACCAGATCGAATTATTTGTCGAATATCATCATCAAATGTATCGAACTTGTTTAAAATTACATAGCCTTGTGGATGTGTGTCATTACCAACTGGTCGAACAGATTTTTCAAAATACGGCAATACATCTGACCAACCCCAACCGATATTGCCCTTTCGCCGCCAACCATCATAATCATGTTTATTTCCACGTACGTATATCATAGCATTCATTCCACCACTGCCACCAATCATTTTACCACGTGGCCAATAACAACGCCGTTCTTTAGATGCCCAACATGCATGGTCACTTGGTTCGGTATAATAATTCCAAGAATAATTTGTATGACTTAAAGTGAATAGCAGACTTGGAAGCTTAAATAAAATTACTTCATTCATAAAATTTTTGAAAAAAAATTTGTATGGTCAAATTCGTACCTCCGATTCTTGTGGTGGATCCCCTCCTGCTTCTATCACCAATACTTCCATTTTAGGATTTTCACTTAAACGACTTGCAAGTACAGATCCTGCACTACCAGCACCAATAATCACATAATCATATTTATTCACACCGTGATGATGTGCTTCATCTGCATGATCTGGTGGCCAATATTCCGGACGTGAAATTCCACACTGTGCTACTAGAATCGCTTGTATCAAACTTGATACGAATGAGTTCACAACTCCGATACTAGGAATAGCACATTGTGCAACAGGTAAAGTTGCTGACATTTTTATTTATACTTGATTTCTTCCAAAAATCCGAGTTGGGTTGTACTCACTTTAGTTTCGGTTTTTATACTGAATTTTGAGACATAATTTTGTTGGTTGAAATTTAAAAATTTGAGCAAACAGTGTCTTCTTTATCAAAGTTAAGCGCTCTGATTTGCTTTTGTTTTTTCTGCAACTTTTTAAATGATATTTTTAAGTCAACTACATTTGCTTTATTTTTCAAAGATTAAATTTAATGAAATTCGTAATAAATGGTTAGGGGTGATCCAGTAGTACAAATATGGAGTCTCCATTTTTATTAGTGAAAAACGGCAAAGATTACTATCAATCCTGAATAGGTTTCAATAAAGGTTACATAGGCAGCTAACATTAATTGGTTGAACACCTTTAATATAAAGTATCGTTTGGTAATTATTCAACTTTAAAAAAAATTCTTAATTTTTCCACTCTACATTCTAATAATATCAGCATGAATATATTCCTTCTATTTTGTAAATCTGGTACCACGAGATACAGGCCTCTCAGATTCGGCTGTCCCGACCAATAAAGATTGGCTCCTTTAATGGGAGTATCGTGGTACCTGTCGGTAAAACCCAAAGTTAAATGGGTGGAAAGTATTCATTACTGCCGTTCGATATAGAATTGCATTTTCCAACCGGGTGCTCTGCTTTGTACCACAGCGGATGTCTTAGATAAGCATCCTTTCATCCCTCTTATATGATGTTAGCACCAGTCGTTTCTATTTCGGCTGAAGATGCAAAACCACACCTATAATTCGTTTTGTATCTTTAAAACTGAAATTAGTTGCTCATTAGTACAAGCTACTCTTTAATGGATTTGTATATTTCTACTTTGCTGGAGAACTTGTTTTCAACTAAATATTTTTCTTTAATTCTTAAAAGAGAAATTTTCAATTTCAACCAAAATATTTCGCGTAAGCTTATTCAATTAAGTTATTTATATACACAATATATGTATAAATATTTGAATTTGCTTAAAATTTAAGTTAGCTTGTCTACTTGTACTTCCGATTAAATTAAGCAATTATTTGCTTCTTACCAACAAAGAGCTTACGCCCAAACCCCAACTTACTTAAAATGTTGATTTTACTTTCTTTAATGAGATTTATTTGGTGAACAGCAATAATTATTGCATATTATTTTAAATAATTTTTTTTGTACATGATAAGTCATGTCTTTTTAGATTTTGATATTTTTCTAACGATTAGAACTAAATGAACATTAATTATGCTATATATGTTATCTTATCTGAGATGTTTTATACTGTATCTGAGGAAAGATAACAGCGATCTTGTTTTTGGATAACATGTTAAAGAATCATATTTAAAAACCATTAGCTTTTATTAAACACAACAAATATTGAATCTACTATTTTCGTAATAACTGAGTGGAGTTGTGATTTTGAATACCTCACTAACTTACAATAGAAAGTCAGTACTATATATTTCGTTTATGATCTGGAGTTTAAATTATATTTGAACAAAAATGCTAATTGGAATAACTGGCACGCTCGAGCAGGTATGAGTGTTGACGAAACTATACCTGTCCAGTAAAGTACTACGTCAATTGAAATACTGAATTACTGGTTACACGATTGATCCGTTTTTTTAACGTCTTGATGGAGACATAGTTCATTTACTTGTTCAAGCTGTTTCTAGAAAGTCTCCTTGGTACCGTCATTTTTATCTTATGTCGTATCTAATATGTGCATATATTAATCGTACGTAGAAGTGTCTAGAAAGGACATGTTCCTGCTAGAGTATTTTTGTTCCGTTCAGCACATTTCCTGGAGAGCGGTAATGTCAGCCTTGTACTTCTTAAGGATATTAACCTGCTGTATAAATGCACCTTCTCTGTAAAACGTTCAGATATTCTAGGTATTAAAGAATCATGTTCTTTAAAATGTTTGTGAGTGTCGCGATATCCATATTTATATCTCAAGCTTTTTCATTGTTTTTATTAAAATTATATTTTTATATTGTGGGTTTCAAAATGAACTAATTTTATAAGTCTACAAACTCAGCAAACCCTAATATTGAAGATTACAGATCTCTCATATAGGTGAACGTGGTCCCTACGTTAAGCTTTATACTCGTTTTGGGAAGCTAGTCACTCCTACAGTTACGAGATTCCCTGAGCTCCTGTGCAACTCAGAAAGAATAACAACCAAAAAACGGATTAAAATCTCAATTAAAATTTTTTTTTAGATTGTAGTTAAGTCCCCTGATGTGCAGCACTCGTTATCAACAAATATCAGCTTTAAAGAATTTATTCCAACCGCGTTTACAAATCAATTGTAATAGTATCCACATAGAACTTATTAGATGAAATGGAAACAAACTATATCGCATCTTATAGCTAACAAACCAATAACATACAATTTTTATAACTTATACTGTTATATATTGTTATATCGTAATATTATATAGTTAATCATTCAAAATTAAAATGATTATACACAAAGGCTTTACAATAATCACTTTCATTTTTAATATAAATAATAGTTATATCTTTAATTAAAAAAATTCTTAAATATCTCATTTGAAGATCTATCTTTGAACAAGAAAAACAAAAATTTATTTACTTTGGAGTTATCTTAACGCACTTTACAGTCCTACTTTCCACACATTTTAGACCAGTGTTCTTTGATAAAATCTGCACCTCGCTCTGCAATCATAATTGTGGGAGCGTTAACATTTCCACTGGGTATTTTCGGCATTATAGATGCATCCACGACACGCAGGTTCTCCACTCCACGCAAACGTAAGTGTGAGTCCACACAAGCATCTTCATCAGCGCCCATTTTCACAGTTCCTATGGGATGGTAAAGAGTTAGGGCAAAATATTTAAAATAACAGAGCCAGTACGCCTTTGATTTGAACACATAATTATCGCATTCCTTAATCGGTATATGTACAATTTCCATATCGTTTTTCTTATATGCATTAGTTTTTTCAAGATTCATGTGATGCCTCATGGCACGTAACATTGTTTCTATATCGTCTTCGTCATCTAAATAGTTTGGATAGATTTCTGGGTAATCCTTGAAGTATGGGCTCCGCAATTTTATTTGACCAACTGATTTTGGAAGCAAAATAACAGTGAACACAAGCAGTATATGTGAAGAGTTGAGCATTTTATGCAAATACTGTTGAATGTCGTCATTAAGAGCTAAAGAATCAAGTACTACTTTTAAATTATTGTGATCCATACGTAGTATTAGTACATGATGAGTTTGCACATCAGGAGTAGCTCTATCATTCGACTTAGTGTTAATAAACCCAGTATATGATGAAATACCATGACTGCCCAAAGGTCCACTAGAGTACATTAAATATTGGTAAATATTATTCAATGTATCTTTTTCCTTTATAGGTATTGCTTTATTTCTTTGTATCTGATAAAAAACAGGCACCATTACATGATCTTGTAAGTTTTTGCCAACAGGTAAATCATGTATAACTGGGATTCTTAATCTTCGCAGATCATCTTTAGGACCAACTCCTGACAACATCAAAAGATGAGGTGAATTAATAGCACCAGCAGAAAGGATAAATTCTTTTTTAGCACGTACAGTTATAGTTTTTTTTCCGTGCATTAAAACTGATATTGATTCCACATATCTGCCGGTTTTATCAAAGTTCAATTTTGTAACCAGAGAATTCTTAAATACATGTAAATTACGACGATCTGAAACTTTTCCCAAATGTACTTTACCTGTACTCATACGATGTCCATTCTGGACAGTACCATACATATCTGTATAGCCAACGGCACTATTTTTAATCTCGTCACGACTTGTTGGTATACCAAGTTCAGCAACACCAGATCGAATTATTTGTCGAATATCATCATCAAATGTATCGAACTTGTTTAAAATTACATAGCCTTGTGGATGTGTGTCATTACCAACTGGTCGAACAGATTTTTCAAAATACGGCAATACATCTGACCAACCCCAACCGATATTGCCCTTTCGCCGCCAATCGTCATAATCATGTTTATTTCCACGTACGTATATCATAGCATTCATCCCTCCAGTGCCACCAATCATTTTACCACGTGGCCAATGACAACGCCGATTTCTACATGCCCAACATGCATGGTCACCTGGTTCGGTATAATAACTCCATGAATAATTTGAAAGACTTAACGTGAAAAATAAACTTGGAATCTTTATTAAAATAGAAACATTTAATTAAATTAAAACAAAAAAAATATATGTGCAAATATACCTGCGATTCTTGTGGTGGATCCCCTCCTGCTTCTATCACCAATACTTCCCTTTTAGGATTTTCACTTAAACGACTTGCAAGTACAGATCCTGCACTACCAGCACCAATAATCACATAATCATATTTATTCACACCGTGATGATGTGTTTCATCTGCATGATCTGGTGGCCAATATTCCGGACGTGAAATTCCACACTGTGCTACTAGAATCGCTTGTATCAAACTTGATACGAATGAGTTCACAACTCCGATGCTAGGAATAGCACATTGTGCAACAGGTAAAGTTGATGACATTTTTTGTTTGACGATGATATCTTGGAATGGTTCGCGTTTAAATCGCACACACTCTGCATTTTGCTTTTATACTAAATTTTTAAGAATTTTCAGCCAAAATTTAATAATTAAAGTAAACATTCTATTGTTAGCTGAGTCAGGTGGGGATGTGATTTTGCGGCATTTTCCTCCAACAGCTCTCAGATTGTTGAGCTCACCCAAGCTGTATTGTTTGATTTTCAAAGTATCAAACATGTTTTAAAAAAGCAGAGTTAGATTAAGTTTGCTTATCAAATTATTTACTTTTTGTTTGTTTTGGAACTTATATTTTTAATATTTAAATTTGAGTATTTTATTAAAAACAAAAAAGCTATTTGGTCTGTTTTAGATTTTCTTCTGCGATATCAATTTTTTTGTGTACGAAGATAAATCAATATGTCATATTATTTAGCAGAGAGCGCTAGTTTTGCGATGAGACATTCTTTTTTGACAAATGAAATCGTTTGAAATCTTTTATTATTCAAATTGGAGTAAAATTCGTTATGTGATTTTAGACGCCTACTCGTCTAAATGTAATGGTATGATGACCACAAATCTTGAGATTAACAAGCCAGGTAAGGCTTAATTGTTTGGAAGACGTAAAGAAATAATGATGATTACTGTGCAGCCGTATTGATCTTTTCCAACCGTATTCCACCTCGAATCTGCTTGCAGATTTTACGAAGATTTTATATAAGATATGTCTTACTTTATTTCAGTCCAAGTAACTCTTCATTAATCTTAAAGTCTTTTCAGTTTTTGCAAATAGATATATCAATATACTGATTAATATAAAATTTTATGTTTTCTTTTATTTAGATTTATTACAATTACTTTTTATCAGTTGTCTCTTTTTGACACTAGGTAGCATCGAATGAAAAGTATATGACGAGAAGAATCAAAATTAAATATTTACGCCTGTCTAACCTATCCACTAAAAAGTACAGTAACTGGAAGATTTTTTATTGAGAAGCTTTTTAGTGAATAGAAGTGAATTAAGTGATGATTGATTTAGATCTTGATTTTGTCTCAGGTGTCATTTCTTGGGCTTAATGTAAGCATTATATGAAATAATAGAAATTAGAACTAATAAAGTTTCTAGTAATATGGTGACATTATTTACAAGTGGTCTGGAAACTGAGAGTCATTCCAGCCTAATTTATCGTATAAATACTTACAGAGCTTTGCAAGAGCTTTCAGCAGATTACAATTAAGCTCCATGGGGTTTAGAAATAGTTTATGTAGATATTATAAGTAAATAGTCTAAACATAGCTGTAATTTATTATCAAGTAACAAAAAAGTTAATTCTAAGCAAAAAATTAACATAATTGTCTTTGTTTTTTAAAATAAATTAACTGAAATGATTAAATTTGAATCATAAATAAAAATTTAATACATTATATTAAATTGAATAATAAAAAGATAAATATAGATATTATTATATAGTTATAGTTACAATAAATATGTTAAGTATGTTAAGATAATTTTAGAAGCACACATTTATTATACTATGGTTTTTACGATATTTTATCAACTAATAAGGTCTCTAGTATTATTTCATTTAAGCACTTTATAAGAGTTCATCTCAGAAATAATTTGACGGCACAATATTTCATATAATTTCATTCAAGTTTTTCACAATCTTCTTTCGCGACGTTTCCACCGCCAGCACTCTCCACGTTGACTATTTCCAATCCTAGCGATACAAGCTGCCTAGTATATCATCCTATACTTTTATGAGCGGGATTCTGATGCCTTTATCATCCCACACTACAATTGCGGCTCTCGTGATCCTAGTCACAGAGTCTATCTCGCACTTGCGCCATAACTCGCCCCTACCACGCCCATGCTTTCTGGCTTCGATATACCTAGTTCGCTAGTTATTAAGACTCTCGCTCACATCTGTTCTGCTGATTACTGGCATGAAGTTTCCATATTGTTGTGGAAATTTTCTTTATACATTCCTAGGAGCTGGTTACATTGAGTTCCAGTCTCACACTGTGGCTTTCGAAGTTTTCCACCCACTGTAAAGAAGAAGAAGGTTTCCACCTGAACTTAATTTCATCTAATAGTGTTTCGTTCAAGTGATGCAATAAAATTGTTTTTAAATCGCAAACTGGTTTTTTCTTTGTTGTTTGTACCGCTGAGTAACCAAAGTGTCAATACCTGAGTGAATATGGTCTACTTTCTCATCCAGGCTCTTAAGTGTTAATACCTGATATTGGGATAGTTTCTTTAATTTATAAATAAATACGAGTACTTGTTCCTTTGGAAGACTTTCGTACTCTCATTGAAGAATTTGAGCAATACTTCATATAATTGTTTCTGTGAAGGTAGTTGATATTCAAAAATATTTTCATGGCTATTAAATGTTTCATATTCATTTACCGAGAATGAAATGAAAATTTTTGCCTTTTGAGGAAAATAAGTGAAAATTGAGAACTTAATAAAATATAACGAAAAGTAATAATAAACGGAAACGGAACTGAAATGTGAAATGTAATTTGCAAATATTGTCGCAATTGCGCTATGTGAGTTATGCGATCTGACCATTTGTTTGTCGTTCCGACTCGACCGCCTGCCAATTCGCCACTCCGCCTATTACAGGATACAGGATAATGCCAACAGTTACTGAACAGTAGCATTTACAGTGAACTTATTACGTTTGTTAATATGTATTTTGTTGTTAATAATATTCAGTGCGACAGTACCGCGTTGTCAAGGATACAATTTCGTTGGTAAATAATGAATGCGCTCGAAGACTTACTGCCAAGCGAACATTCGCACTGCATTATGAGTGCTCTTCTGCTGAAGTGAACTCGTTTTTACGTTTTCATAATGAAATTGCAGTCTTTATGAAATAATATTAAAATTTCGTATACATTTTCATATAACTGCAACAACAATATTTACAACAACACAACAACAACACAACAACAAAACATTGTAATGAATTTCACTTCAATTTACGATTTTTACTTGCAAAAAGTCAATTTTGCATTTAAGTCCGAGGACATGCAAAATTTAATTTTCTGCCGAATATTGCATTTTTTTCATGGAAAATATAGAATGATATGAAAAAATTAGTGAAAATAGTAATATTTCGAAATTTTATTAAAATTTCAGAAATTTTCCGGACACAGTTTCATTGATTTTATCTTCAATTCAAGTACAGACACGAAGTAATCTTTTGCCTAAAAGAATTTTTAATATAAAATTGTGGCATATTACTTCATTAAATTAGCATTGATTGTCTTGAGATATCCCAAGGATATGTTTTTTGGTCAATGTCTATGAAAATGTATGAAATGTTGACAGATGCAACATTTTGATTATAATAATTTGGGCGTATGATAATTTAAGACCGGCTCTGGTTTTCATATCAAACTTTGGTGGTTGTTGTGACTACTGCGGGAATCAAAAAGGGAATGTCAAATTTTTTAGAAGAATTTTAATATCCCTGGAAGTTGAATTTAGCTCAAAACTCGAATCGATTTGATATGAAGCCAAATATAATATTTCAAATGAAATTCGTTTTAAATTTTCTTTAAGTTAGTTTTACTCTCCTAAAAAGCTGAAGATCCCTAATAATGTTAATATTATTATAATAGTATTATGTATTATGTTATTTAAAAAAAGATGAAAATTCTTTTCAACTTCCTCTTCAGATTTTTTTAATATTTTACTGAGAAGTTACTTCATGATTTTAAATGCTAACGTTATTCTCTATTACCATTAAAAACATTCAGTGTTCCATTTTCTTAGATATGGGTACGATTGTTGTTGTCTGGGTACGTCTCAGTAGAAACCCATATATTTTCTATGTGTACGCGACGGGACTATTATCAGCTAGTGTGATTACACCACCAACGCGGTGGCAGCTAGAAATAGGTTTTTCGTATGGTCATGATCCTGCTAATCGGAGGGACGAATTTAAACTATATTACTAATTATAGCAATTACCTTTCTAAATTAGCCTATCCACTTAGTTCATTACATATATAAATAATACTTTATATTGAACATTATCATTTAAAACTATAATATGATAGAGAATGTTCTAGAAATTTTATTATATCACATATAGAGACAATACGTCACATTGAAGAGATTCAAATAAAGATAATATTTTGTATATCAAATTGGATGGTCCTCTTTGACCTTCCAAGCCAATTTCACGGTTTCAGAAATGCGCAACCTTTGTTACTAGTATGGGTTACGAGCCAATCCATAAATGATTTGGTAGCCATTTTTATTTCTTCTTTGACTAATCGAGTTTTGACGTCACACTAAATGTTATTACTTATTCCCTGTGAATGTTAAGATATTCTTCCACATCTCTAAGTACTTTATTTTAAAATTATTGTATAATATTTTTATTGGTCTGAATATTACATCATAAAAGTAAAGCATTCTAGCACTATATGGTCTTTTGGGGTCAGTCACTTTGAATGGAGGAAACAATGACCAAATAAACTGGATATCAATTTGATGACTTTACTGCTAATTGAGTCTTCCACAGATAAAATAAATACTCCAGATAATTAAGATATCACTCTGATGGCGTCAATTCCGAATAAATCTCACAAAGACTATATGCCTTTTGTTACTCTGAAAGCTTTCTGACCATTAAGTGTGCTATAGCACTTCCGTTGTCTTTTGTGCTTACGAATGGTGTGAATATCCTGATAACTTTGTTAAAATAAAAGATGAACAGGTAAGAAAAATTCAGGATAATGACTTCGATTTTCCGTCAGCGTGGTCTAACAGTCCACACTAATGGTGACTTACAGACTTCCTAATTGAGTTTCGAAGCAAATGATCATATATACTTGATTTATAAATTCTTTTGAAAAATTAAATCATTTTTACTGATGATAGATAAAAGCGTTGTACCGTTGTAATCACTGAGACTTTTGTGCTTACAGAAAAGTACTTGAAGCGAATGATTAGTGTTAATGATATTTTGAGTTGTTTTGTAAAAATGATGTTTTTTTATT